GAGAGAGACAGAGAGAGAGAGACGCACTGAGAGGCGCGTGATGGGTCGGTGTACGGCCGGTGTGCAGGAGGTCCAAACGGGATGCTGAACGAAAAAAGTGCACAGCTGCTCCGGCCAACTGCGCTGCGCTTTGGGCAGTGATAAGTAGGATGAGGAATAATAATCAGCTGTTGTATTATAGCACCAACATCAACATGCAAGAGTCCGGACACATCAAGCGTGACCGCCTCCTGTCCTGACAGCCCTGCGGCGCCGTCTGCACCGTGTCCGCGGTACCGACGGGTCCCGTCCTGCAGGCTGGCTGTGCTGGCTGGCTGGGTCGGTCTGTCTCCGGACCAAACATCGGTCGTGATCGCCTGTATGTGACAGCCCTGTCGCGTTGATTGGCGTGCGAGAACCAAACGGAGACCGATGCGCTTTCCCTCTGTGGATTTGTGCGATCACCTTTACGGTTCACCTTGGAAATAAAAAAAATTAAAAATAAATAATCGCATGAAAGGTAAGACCGGTGTGTCCACAGGGTTTATGAGCAGCCGCTGTAGCTCCGTGTTTGTGTTGATGTTTTTTTTTTAATGTGAAATTGCTCTGCTTTGTGCTTTTGGGGTGTTTTTCACGAGTCCAGGCTTTGTGGATAATGGAGCTGTCACTCAGACTTGCAGGCTTATGGACTATGAAATATGAAAAAGGGCCAATTTGTTTTATGGTATTTAAGCTTTTGAAAGTTTTCTACTTTTAATTGAATTGAATACAGACCTGTCTGATCACCATTGTTCAGAGCTTTGCAGGTTACTACCGTGATCACATGAAAGAGGTCCTAATTTCCATATGATGAATTATTAAATAGAGGTGTATCATTTCTGTGTGAGAGGGCACATAAACAAAATGGTGGGAGGCCCTTGTCCTCCTATCACATCCTCCTCCTTGTGACCTACAGTATCTGTTGACATTGTCTGATGTGCTCCATTATCTGCAGCTGTGCTCCAGCTCGTCCCCTCTGACTGACCTGAGTTCAGTTTCTTAAGCAAGAGAGGGAGATCAAATTGTGTTTGAACAGTGAGCAATAAAAGCGCTTCACTCTGTGATACTATCCCATAATGATCACCAACAGTTTTGTCTTTTGCTTTGTAAAAAGGGTCAGGGGCTAATTAACATTGCTCGGCAACAAGGATGTAATCCAGGACAGAGGTCCAAAGTTAGTTCCTCAGCCCACTGGTGGAAAATAACTAAGTATTAACTCAAGTACTGTAATTATGTACAATCTTGAGGCACTTGTCCTTTACACACTTCCATTATGCTGTACGTTTTACTTCTACTTCACCACACTGGAGGCAAGTATTGTATGTTTTACTCCACTACATTTATCTGACAGCTTTAACTACTGGTTACTTTGTAGGTTCAAATTACTAATACAAAATATAATTAATGACTTCTGCTATATTATTATAGAATGATATATAACATAATTTCAATTAGACCGACCTTTCACAGCTGCAACATTAAAGAGGTGCCATCATATGAGTACATCCTTAGTTATAATCCAATGATATATATTTTATTTTGAAACGGGACATTCTGCATATGAAGTGCTTTTTAATTATCATTATTTTTAATACCAACACTTATGAACTTTGACTTACTTCGTACTAAATATTTTTTGTAGTAATGCAATATTTTTGCACTGTGGTATTTTATCTGAGTACTTCTTTATCCACTGCCTCAGCCGAATTGCCTTCTCATGATAACGTCATCAGTGATGCCTGGGGAGCACGATGTAGACAGGTGCTCAGTATAATGTGATGCATTCTCACAGCTTCCCCTCAATGCAGGCAAATAATTTGCTGTTTCACAAGCTGTTTACCCAAGGACTCACTGACTGATGTTCCTTAGTGAAGGCAGCTTCAAGACATGCTGAAGGGCAAAGATGGCAAAACTCACCTGTGTTGTTTTTATGCTTTTTATGCAAGCCACACTATCTTGTTTTCTCAGATTGTTGTGTTATAATTATCCACACACTGCCTGTTGCAGGTTGATGGATCGCATGCAGCAGAAACAAATCAGCACTGAGCCTTTTGGGCCCAAAGTGCAACCCAGTCCCTGTGCATTCATCAGAGCTGGTCCAGGTTTACTGCCGCAGCTCGCAGTCCAGGAACCACCTTTCATTAGCCCATCAGAGGTGCTCAAGAAACAGTCCGGATTGAGCCCCACGCAGGCGGTAGTTGCACCAGTGAAACTGACGGACCAAACACAGTCAGGGCAGCCAAAGTCTGGGTCTGCTCCAGCAACACTGGCAAGCATAAGCCGGCCAAGGCCGACTGTTCTTGGAACTAAACCTGCTCCAAAGACCACCAGAATCTCAGTGAACCCCTCCAAGGAAATACATTTGATTCCAGTTTGCATCCCAGGACCTCAGAGTGCCAACGTCCTGCCGCATTCCCCTACAGAGTCCTCCCTCTCCCCTCACAGCCCACAGAGTCCCCACAGCCCTCAGTCTTACACCAGCCAGCCTTACCTGAGCCCCAACCTTAGCCTCAGCCCCAAACCCAGCCTCAGTCCTCAGCCACAGAGGACCCCCTCACCTGGGAGCTCAACACAGAGCCAAGGGCAGTCCGAGAAGCCAGGGGAGAACAATGACTTCAGGTGAGACAAATAATCACATCTTTATTAAAGATATATATATATATTACTCAGCCTGTGAGATAGTATAAAAGGATTCTTTCTCACCACTGTGAATGTTGTTCCTAGTTACGGCTAAATACAGCTGCAGGAGCAGCGGCTGTAAGAAAGCTGATGTGTGCCAGACCATGTCACATGCATCAAAGCTGCGAATTTCACTAAGAGCTTTGTGAACCCGACAGAGTGACACAGCCACATTTAGCTGGCACACTTCCCAGAGACATACTTTTGTTGTGTTCTTCCTCGCTCATGAGCAACGACTGCCTGTAAAATCTCTGTTTAAACTTTTGTGTTTATATGAAGGAGGAAACATCAACCTAAAAGGCTTCACACAGCAGCATCCTCTGCCAGTCCTACTGTCACACTTAAACACACATTATCATCACATAGATTATATTCTCATAGACTACACTGGTAGATTTGCATGTTTTAGCATACAAAATCATCAATTATGTTTTTCCCTATTTTTTATTTATTTTATGTTATTGCCAGGGTTATATTACTGTTACCAGGTAATAGCTCTGTATCAGGTTTTACTGTTCGTTTGTAATAATTAGCTATGTTGTGTGGATGAGATTATGAAAGCAAACGAGAAAATTTTTAAAAGATACATTTAGTAATTTCTGACATTAAGATGTTGCTTTTCAACAGCCAACACGTAGGTCTTAAATGTCAACGTGTCCTTGAATGCACCGACAGGAAGAGTTTTGAAAACAGTCTGAAATAACACGATGATAGATCCTATTCACAGTGGCCATTTTGACATGAAATAGTAGGGTAAGCACAGGTGTTACAAAAGACGCTAATTAATTAATTTTGTTCCAGCAACGTCGACCAGGGGACAGCTGTTGTGCATGTTGGCTCACTGGAAAGACTGCTGCACTAAATGGAAAAGAGGCTTAATTAGTGTCATTGGTAACACCTGCTATGAAAAAGGTCTATCTTAGAACACTAACAAAAACAAATAAATGTGATTATAGTGAGTATAGATGACTACAGTTATATAACATTTACAATTACTGTACGTTGATTTTCATGTTACAGGCTACTGAAATGAATGGAAACAATCTTAAATCTTATGGTATGCTTTTGAAAAAGTGTGGCAGTAATGTAAATCAATTATTTGTAGTTATTATGCTCAAATATGTCACCAATGTGGTCCTTTAAGTAAATTTTTAACCCTGCAAAGGGCTTGGAAAGAAGTCTATTGCTAAGGCTGTTGTGTCATGTGATGGCATAAATCATGAATTTAATGAGTGATGTAATAATTAATTATTTTATAGATTTATCAATTAAAAGTAAATTAATTGTCAACTATTTTGATAACTGATTAATCATATAAATAATTTTTCAAGCAAAAAGTGACAAATATTTGCTGGTTGCAGCTTCTCAAATATATTCTTGTCTTCTATGATAACAAACTGAGTCATATGTTTGATTGATAAGATTAATTGAGAAAATAAGTAATAGATTGATCAATTATAAAAACAGATGTTAGTTACAGCCCTAATGAGTAGCTTCTGTTGTTTCTGTAATGAAACAATGAGGCTAGTAGTTTAATTTCAGAGGACAGTTTGCTCCATCTTTTTCTCTCTTCCAGAGCACACACACACACCTTAGTCATCATTGAGGTACAAAGAGGGGCTTAATTGTGCTTATCTTTTGTTCTATATACAGCAACTCTAATGAAAGCTTTTCCTTTAGGATTACAGCACAGGTTATGTCATATTTTAGCCTACAGCACATATAGTACATAAATCTAATGCAGCATCTTCACTGTTTCTATCCTCTGAAAGGGTGTACATTGTCACATGGAACGTGGGATCAGCTGTCCCGCCAGATGACATCACTTCTCTGTTCGGACCAAATGTTTCAGATGGGAGCGTTGACATGTTTATCATCGGGTAAGCAAGTATTTCTACCAGGCTCAGCAGTGCCAGAGAGACAGCCGCGAGTGCCCACTCAGTCATCTGTGTTCATTTTGATCCGTCCCCTCCTGTTACCGATCTCTGTGCTTTTTTATTGATGCTTCTTTTTCACTTGTTAATGACAGCTCTCTACTTTTCTGGCACCACACAGACTCCAGGAAGTCAACTCCATGATAAACAAGCGGCTGAAGGATGTTCTTTTTTCAGACCAGTGGAGCGAGCTTTGCATGGACACACTCAGTCCTTTTGGATATGTTTTGGTCAGTATGGAGTTAAAGCTCATATCAGTAGATTTCTTTTACTCCTGTCCCATTATAACATTTAGTTTACTATGCGGATATATAATTGTTCATGTATCTCCTCCATTTAGGTGGCGTCCCAGCGTATGCAGGGAGTGCTGCTGCTGGTTTTCTCTAAATTCTGCCATCTTCCATTCCTCAGAGGTGTGCAGACAGAGAGTACACGCACAGGACTCGGAGGATATTGGGTACGTGCTGCGCATTGAAGTGCGCTCCTCTGACTTCTGCTCTGAGATTTATCACATTGCAAAAAACCGTGGTTAGTTTGTGTCACTGGGGTTCAGGGGACGGGTGTGGGGGTGGGGGTGTTGAAAGGTGGTGTGTGTGCTCCCTCCTGCCAGCAGGCGCATGCATGCGTGGGTGCATATGTCAGTGTGTGACCTTCCCGTGCGTGTTGATGTCAGCATCACCCCTGGCTGCTGCTGGTGCAGTCTCCTTCTCTTTGAGGTCAGTGCAGCAGCAGGCTGTCTGGCTTTCTGGTTCTGTGACTCAGGGGCAGGAAAAAACATCCTGATTTTGTTCCTGAACACGGATATGGTTGATACTGTTTTTTTTTTTATTTGAAATTTGATTTTAAAGACGCTATGCGTAAGAGATCCTCTTCTCACTGTGTCCTCTCTTTGCCCTTTTCCACACTCTAAGGGGAATAAAGGGGGCGTCAGTGCGAGGATGACAATATTTGGCCACCCGGTGTGCTTTCTCAACTGTCACCTGCCAGCTCACATGAGGAACCTGGAGCAGCGGATGGAGGACTTTGAGAGCATCCTGCAGCAGCAGCAGTTTGATGGAGGGACTGCCACCGGTGTACTGGACCATGAGTGGGTGACATCATTTTAACATATGAGTTTAATTCATTCAGCTGAAGATTGACCTCCCTTAAAAAAAAGTTTCACACCATCATTCAGCTGTCATAAAAGAATATGTATAATATCACACATTCAGTTTTAGTTTTTTATTTACGCCAAAATGTTTCAGACCTGATCTGAGCCATAAATTGCAGCAGCAATGATAAATAAATCTTAGCAGGACATGATAAAGCTTAACTATTTGATGTTTTATGTGTCTTAAGTAAAAAAGTAAAACATCCTACCTTTTTTATTTAAATGTCATAATTTAATATTTAATTAAGTAAAAGTGTTGTTGTTTTTTGGTGTATGTTATCTTGTCCCCAGTGTCGTGTTTTGGTTTGGGGATTTAAATTTCCGTATTGAAGACTATGACATCCATGTGGTGAAAAGTGCCATCGACAGCAATAAGCTGCCTCTTCTGTGGGAGCGAGATCAGGTGAGGCACCTTCAGCATTTAAAAACATTTGCCTCGTCATAGAGACAGACTGATTTTTCTGGAAGGCTTCACACCACCTGTTTGTCTCTTGATCACCATCGACGACCAACAGAGGGCGCTGTAGCACAGAGTGAGCAATCATCACCTTCTGTCAGGGTGAATGAAATTCTTTAAAGCCTGTGACCTGCTCTGTTTCTCCCATCATTTGCTCCCTCTACAGCTCAACATGGCTAAAAACACAGAGTCCATCCTGGAAGGCTTCAATGAGGGACCACTCAAATTCCCACCTACTTATAAGTTTGATGTGGGCACTCATACGTACGACACCAGGTTCGTCCTGTCGCCTCCTTCCCAAACTTACTCAACCAGATTGTATTTTTCTAGAGACTGAGGCTCAGACCTGCTGTGATGGTCTGTCCCTCTTTGCTTCTCTTCCGTCAGTGCTAAGAAGAGGAAACCTGCCTGGACGGATCGCATCCTCTGGCGTCTTCGCCGTACTGGCTCCCCAGTTCCTTCCCACAATGCGGCGCTGCAGCGGGGTCTGACCTCGTGGTTGGGTGGTGCCACTAAAGTGACACAGCGTGTGTACCGAAGTCACATGGGCTACACCATCAGTGACCACAAGCCTGTTTCTGCTGTGTTTTCACTGCATGTGAGAGAATATTTCACACATCTCCTCAAATGCACTGTAAATGTATGGTTTATGTTTTATTTAACTGTCTGTGCTCTTTTTGTCTAGTTCCCCTTCAAGGTGGACATGCCCCTGGTGGTGCTGCAGGTAAACAAGGAGTGGTGTAAAGTCTCAGATGCTACAGTCAGATTAGCTTTTGCATCAACTTATCAGCGCAGCTCATGGGACTGGGTAGCGATATATAAGGTAATTGTTTTTGCTCAAAAGCTCCAGATAAATTCTTACAATGTGAAGTGTCAGAGTTGGATACCATCTGTTACTTCTGCACAGATCGGATTCAGACATCATAAAGATTACCAGGCATACATATGGGCCAAGGGAGAGCATTTGACTCAGGTGTGTGCGATACTCAAATTCACACATTTATTTTGCGCCACAGCTGAACTTAGGGTTAATTTCTCTCCGTTTCTCTCTTCACCAGGTGACATTTTCAGAGGAGGATATGCCAAGAGATGATTGTGAATACATGCTGGGTTACTACAGCAACAATATGAACAGTATTGTTGGATTGTCAACACCAATTCAGGTAAGAAAAGTCAGTCAAGACAAAAAGAAACCACCTCACTGCTTCATTCGTAAATGGATAGGCACATATATACATGGCCAAAAGTATGTGGACATGCAAACATTACAGTCCTATGTGACTGAAGTACTTGCCCATCAATATGCTGCTACAACAACCTCCACTCTTCTGGGAAAGATTTTCACAAGGTTCTTGGAGTTAGGCTGACTTGCACTCGACATTCCTGTTCATCCCGAAGGTATTGGATGGGGTAGAGGTCAGGGGTCAGTCCAGGCCATTCCTGTCCTGCTACACCAAACTGGAAAAAACAATTCTTTATGGAACTGGTTTTTCTACACAGAACCATTGTCATGTTAAAACAGGAGAGGAAACTTCAGTTTGAAGAAGTTTCCTTCAAACTTCAAAGTTGGAATCACACTACAGGGGTGAGAACCAGAGGGACGTACAACTTTACAACTTTATAGGGAAGCCAAAAGAAAAAGTGACCATACTTTGTCCCCACATGCATCAATGAGCCTCAGCCGCCCATGACCCTGTCTCCGGTTCACCACTTTTCCTTCTTTGGATCATTTTGATAGGTACTGACCACTTCAGACCGGGAACACCACAGAAGAGCTGCAGTTTTGGAGATGCTCTGACCCAGTTGTCTAGCCATCACAATTTTGCCCTTTTCAAAGTCTCTCAGATCCTCACGCTGCCCATTTTTCCTGCTTCTAACATATCAACTTGAGGATAACATTTTCACTTGCTGCCTAATAAATCCCACCCACTGACACCTGTCAGCTGACATTTCAACTGTCAGTGCTCATAATGCTAATCAGTGTATATATGTATAATTTTTGCCCCAAATGCCACTTATGCCCCTTTGGCTCTTGCTACTGGTGGAAGTTCATCTAGTCAGATACTGTGCTTAAGTGCCATTTTTGAGATACTTTGACATAACATAGAATAGATACCTTATTGGGAAATCAGCAGCTGTTTTGATAATCATTTTTAAAAGCTAAACTTATCTGATTACAGCTTCTAAAATCTAAATATTTTATGACTTATAATAGTAAACTTTTATCTGAGTGAATAATATCTGCATTTCTGTGTTTTGGTCAGACAAAACAAGACATATGATTGTCAATTTGAGTTTCGGGAAATTATGATGGACAGTTTTTCAATATTTTCTGGTATTTATAGACTAAACAATTAATAGATTGATCAAGAAAATAATGGCCAGATTATTTGTTTTTTGAAATTCTTTTTTTATTGGGTTGTACTGTATGTATGTATGCACCAATGACATTAATTCTGTTATATAACACTGACAGGGGTCATTCTGTTGCACAATTAGTAGTTTTGATCCATTTTGCTGATGATATTTTTAGTTTATAAAATTCTGAGTGTAAGACTTGTACTTGTATTTGAGTATTTCTATTGCTTCTTTTAACTTAAGTAAATGATATGGACAGGTTTTCCCACATACTTTTGGTCATATATTTTCCTTTTTAGCAACCTCGCTCATGCAGTTATCTTCTCTTGAATCCTCCATCCTAAACAGATCAAGATTCCAGTGCACAGCCCCACCGCGCATCGCTCCGACAGCTCAGATGTTAGCTCAGAAGACGACAGCACTCTGGTTCTGCTGGCTCCAAGCTCCCGCAGCCCGAGCCCTAAAACTGGCAAACACCACCATCGCCACCGTCGTAGCCGCAGCCCGGCTGTCCCTGCTCTTTCCTCCAACTCCCTCCCCTCCCTGCAGGGCCTCAGCCTCTGTCCTCGCTCCAAAGAAGGTCAGGCGCGCAGCCGCTCACCCTGCTCTGCTGCTAAGAAGGAGCGATTGGTCTCCCCTGAAACTGTGCACTCTCCCTCCATCAGCCCGCTCAGTCCCCGCAGTCCTGTGTCTCCAGGTGGTGGGGTGACCGCACCAGAGGCCCTGATTGCTGCCATCTTAGGTGAACACAGACCAGCTCAGGTTAGCCCCACGGGGGTCAAACAGACAGGAAAGACAGGGGAAACAAACACTGCATAAAACATAAACATCAGTTGTTATAAGGAAGTACTGTACAAGGAGAACGATGGCAATATCCATGCATTCAGAGTCTGATCTGATTTTACAAAGTCTCTGTGCTCGTAGAAGCAGCACATTTAATGACTCCTAACGTAGTTTGCAAACATTCCGCATTGTAGCCCTGCAGCTCTCTGTTTCTGAATCTACCATCATCTCATACACTATGTGTATCTTGGAGTCAAAGATGTGTCCAGACTCCCGATGACAAGTGCTTTAATAGACTCATGAGCTATATCATACGTAAAACATACATATTGAATGTGAAACCAAAGTCAGAGTAAACCTGTGATGGATGTGAGCAGTGGTTATTGAATATAGCAATATGGATCCATGTGAACAGTCTCATATCAAAGTAAGGACCCTGGACCAGAAGTATTGATGGTGTCATAGTTCACAATACTGTGAGAGAGTGTGTGTGTGTGTGTTTTTGTGTGTGTGTGTAGGTCTATGTGTTAACACGTAAATTAAATGTGTGCATTTTGGACCAGATGATGGTTTAACATTTTAACTCTATAGTTCTTGGTCTGTATTCATAAAATGAATTTAATGTATCCAAGAAATAGAGATAGAGCATTTCATCACCTCAGCCAATCTGAAATGTACATGTGCACCATGTGACTTGAACAGTAATCATGCTCTTTTTCTTAGCAGCTTTGTGAATACAGCCCCTGTTCTATAGAGGTCAGTGAGTGGATGTTTAGGCTAACGTGTTTGTTTTGCTTTTAAGAAAAACAGTGTCATGTAATTGTGTGAGTGTGCAAATAAAACCAGAACAAACAAAATACTGTTTATTGGACAAACATTACTTCAAATTGTGATGAAGAAGTTTATTTTGTGGACTCAAGTCACATAATGAACACATAATGAGTGAGGTATGACTTTGATACAGGGCAGAAATCCTACAAAACAACAAAACAAATGTCAGTCTCTTGGAAAATACAATTAGTTAAGACAAAGAAGATCTTGAGGATAAGTGTGCACAGCTTATGGTTCGCCCTGAACTTTATAATTAAGATAATCACTCTCTGGATTAGCGAGGGGGTCTAAAACCAAAGAGAGACACCAGGGTGAAGAGACAAGACAAGCTGCAGTATGTTTTACCTGATGGAAAACTGCATACATATATGCACTCATAAAGGTTCTCAGATTAGGGAAAGGTGATTCTACGTCTCTAGAAACCCCTTAAATAAGTATAATACATTAATCTCTTCAGGCCTTTTAAAATCCTTGAAATAAGTCAAATACTGAATACTTTCTCCTTCTCATTCTGTTGCATTTAGGACATAACTTCTTACTGCACTCTATATCTATTCTGTTTGTATTTGATGTCATTGTATGTATTTCATTTTATCTAACTGCTCAAATCTCATTTCATTCTGTCTTTTCATTGCCTATCGCTAATGGCCGATGCTGTTCTTTGCCTATGTAAAACCCTTAAAGTGTGCCTGTGTTTGCTGCCTGGCTGAGTGAAATAGTACTTCATACTTTCACTGTTTCATGTTTGTAAAGAATCTTAAATTGTGAACCATTTAACTTCAATCCAAAAGGAAATATTTAAGGCCTTAACCTGTGATGATGAGTCCCAGATATAGACACTGCTTTACACTGAGGGCTCACAAGCCCAGATGAAGGTTAACAACCACTTTCCAATGTAAAAACCACTGAAGATGAAGTTTATCTAACATTTAACCCAATGATTTATCCTCAGGGACTTTGGTTGATCTTAATTAGAGCACGCCCCCCTCTGCACCACGTGGTCTGTGCTCTTCAACAACATTGGCTGCAGAGAAATGACTTGTCCTGTGTGAAGAAGTTGTTTAGCCTCATAAATACAGCCGTCCGAGCATCTCTCAACACTTCCCCCGGTGGGCCGAGACCTGAAGCAGCGTGGACACCTCAGTGTGTGAGCAGGAGCCCGAGCTAAAGCCTGTAAATAACCCCTGACCCCGCTGCTCAAACTCTATCCGAGCAGCTTACATCAGCTTGTTAGCTAACAGTGTGTTTAACAGGCAAAATGAACGGCCATCTGAACGGTTTCCATAACAGCTCGCTCATTGATGAAGACTGCTTCCTCTTCACGTCGGAGTCAGTCGGAGAGGGTCACCCCGGTGAGTTTGAACTTGTGACTCTCTGATTATAATAATTAGCCTGTAGCATCCTGTTAGCCTCTCTAACAAGGTCATGTGGTCTGCTGCTGTTGTTGTGTGTCAGCTGGTCCTCTCAGTGCCGGTTCATCCTCTCTGCAGCTTCAACACAATTAAAAAAAAAAACGGACTCCGTGATACACACATGTCCTTGCTACATTTAGTTCAGACAACCCGCACCCCCTGAACAATGACAGCAGACTATTTAAAGGCTGTTTAATACAGTTTTATGGCGCGGCTGCATGCTAACAACACGGTGGCTAGCTGCAGAAGCTAACAGGACCCTATTAGGACTGTTGGCGGCTGTCAATCAAATGTGGCTGCACATGGTTGAGTATGTTTTATTACACAACAACTATTAAAACTGCTAACGCGTAAGATTTATATATATATGTATATTGTTTTATTTACATTTATTTATTTAATTTAAGTCGGACGGTGTTGCATCATTACAGAAACTACATGTGACATCTGCAGGAACATCTGGTTTGTTATTGCCTGGTCAAAATGTCCTCATTGCTCCATAGACTGTGTACATATGATTGTACATGAGATTGTTTTAATGTATTTGTATTACTGTTTGTATTACTGTAGCTGTATTAAGCTGAAAATAGCTACCAAATGTACCATAAGTGAGGAAAAAAGTCTCCAAAATGGCCATAAAAACAAAACTAAAAGTAGGTTTTAGTGCATGGTTATTGATTAGATGAGATTAGAAGTACATGTACTAGATAACGAAACGCAGTTAACCATCTAACCAGAAGTGCAAAGCAGTAACGTGCATATGTACAGGGATATATTTAAAAAAACAAATGGTATTAGACTGTATTAGTTTTGAGCAAGATGTAACTAATAAGCTTCTTACATCTGTAACACTCAAACATTTGAATTGCATAACTTTTCTGCTGTTTGTAGGACATTACGCTGCAGTTGTCCGTCGTCTTTGGGGGCAGTGGGGGAAGCTCCATTACAACAGATAATAGGCTTACCAGCAGTCCTAATTATAGGTACTGCAGGGGCTGCTGCTCTACTGTGGGTGTAGTCACATCCACATACGTTAAAGCTGCAGGACACTAGAAGCACCTACATACTTCTCTACCACTGTCTTTCTTGACACTTTACATTATGACCATCCAAACAGCTTAGGCCGTCCTTGCAGTGCTTTTGAAGGGAATAACTGCAGTATATTTCAGAGAGGGATGTGGATACTACTACTACTACTACTACTAGCTCTTGAACTAAGAGACGAAGTCTGAAGTTATCACAGTTATCAGGTTAATATCCTCTTTATTTATACATCATTAATCATTGGCCCTGTAGGGGCCCATGAGGTGAAAGAACCTGTTGGTTGAGTGTTTTAGTTTCAGTCAAACTGCAGAAGGTGCCAGAAAAGGTTAAAAGAAGATTGAAACTGACGTCTCTCTCTAATGTTTAATCTAACAAGCGTTTTAACACCACCACATCGTCTTAGTGAAAACAGTGAAACAGTGGTTTTAGCACTATAATCTGTGTTTTAAAACACCTGCAATTAAAACCACTGCTCTGTTTAATAAGCATGAGCATGCACCACATATGTGACCAGGATAAATATGCTGTGGAATTAATCTTACAATATGTTTTCATCTATCTCTCTATGTTCTCTCTGATATAAACTAAACTGAGGCATTGCCATTTAGTGTTTTTATGTGTGTATGTGTGTAAAAGTGCTGAATATACTGTTACTGTTTTACAGATAAGATTTGTGACCAAATCAGTGATGCTGTGTTGGATGCACACCTCACACAAGACCCTGATGCCAAAGTAGCATGTGGTAAGTCATTTACAGAGTATTAATTCACCCAATCATGTTGCTTATTTTCCCTTTTTTTGCTTCCTCTATTGAGGAATGTTTTCTGATGTATCTTTTATAATAGCCCTGTTTCAACCAAATTTTACCAGAAACTAAGGAGCCCCTGGAACTAAACTCGGGGCCTAAATCAGGAACTCCTTACTCGTTTTTATAGTATTCTCTGGTTTCATGAAGAGACATTTTGAAGTGACGATGAGGTACTTACCTGAATATACTTGAGATGCAGGTGGAGAAAGCTGAAAAAGCTTTCAGGTTTCAGGTTGCTTGTAATTACAGTTCTTCAGTGGACTGGATGTTTAAATAGCACATTGGCAGCATTTGCTGTTTTTTTGTGTTATTTAACAGAGAATACATGTTTGTCAAACCAGTTTCACTTGAGCAATTAAGCGAAGGTAATTATTTTATTAGGTTTCACTGTGACGTAGAATTATTGGCACACATTTTGGCAATTTGAATCGGCCCAACAAAACAAAGGGCCATCTGCCGCAGATTAATTTGTCGTATCATCTAAAAGGGGGATGGGGCTAACGGTTCATGTCCTACATTAAGGCCTAAAGTTTTATATGGTTGCTTTAGATGTTGATAATAAAGCTGCAATAAATAGTCAATTAGTAGATCAAAAGAAAATTAATTACCTACTACTCTGATAATTGATTTTAAGTTTAAGTCATTGTCGGGATGCCCTGATGGCTCACCTGGTGGAGTTGGCGCCCCATGTACCAAGGGTTAATTCTCTCGTTCACCTCCTTATTCCAGTTGTTGTTACTACTCTCATCCATCACACTGCATGTCATTGTGTCCTCAGAGACTGTTGCTAAGACGGGGATGATCCTGCTGGCGGGAGAGATCACCTCTAGGGCCCACGTTGACTACCAGAAGGTTGTCAGGGATACGGTCAAACACATAGGCTATGATGACTCCTCCAAAGGTACAGTGGTGAAAGTTTGTAGCTGTGAGTTTACTTCTGTTTGAGATTCATGCAGTTAAAGCCCCTGTCTTGGTAACAAACGTATTATTCAGTAATAATTAAGATTTACACTCAGGATTGTATCAAATCATCAGTTCTGTAGACTGTGAAGAGTACCAGAGTAGTGGTAGCAGTATCAGAATGTATAGTGAGAATTATATTGTATAGTGAGCTCAAAATATCTC